TTCATACCAGAAATTCTGAGTAGGCAGGTGAGGTATCTCCAAACCCCCCATGTAAGGTCCTCTGATGGGCATCTTGTATCAATAGCTCTGTCGCCCATCCCTCCTTTCCCAGTAGCACGGGATGTTTGGCCCCATAGCTGAGCTCAGAGTTTTGTATTCTTCCCCTGCATCTTATTAGCCCCGCATGATCTAGGAACAATCCCAATGAGTGAACCAATTTGCTGTTCCCTGAGTCGTCGTCGTTGGACACGCGTCCTGACGCCATAACCTGCTGCCTGGTCGCAAGTACTTCCAGCACTCCTGGAAACCTCTCCCTTTGGTACTGCCTTATCCAATATTCTCTGGGACCCACGAGAGACAACTGTCGACCTTGGCTTACCTTGTCATGCAGCTTCCTCACAAATTGAAATACCATTTCCGTGACTCCTATAAGTTTCCTCCAAGAGGAGTAGCGCCTGGGGTCAAATAATTCAGTGTCGGGTTCCCCCGCAAAGTGTACTATGCTGCTGGTTGTCTCCACGAATTTCTGCTCCGGCCAGCAATCCCTTGCCGGTAACCAGTCTGGGCCTTTGAACCAAATCTCGCTTTTACTCAGCTTTTTGTGTGTCACCCCTCGGCTTATCAGGTCGCTGGGTTTTGATCTGTAGGCACATACAGAATTGTTGACGTTGACTGAGTTTCCCGTATCTCCTTTACCCGATTCCTGACATAGGGGAGCTTAGACCTGTCGTTCTGGACCCACTGTAAGGCCACCTCCGAGTCTGTCCATACATAGGTGTGTGTCACCCTCAGATTACTCAACACCTCCTCTACGTACTTACCCAGTCTTGCTCCCAGCAACATCGCCGTGAGCTCTAGCTTTGGGATCAAGCAATCCTTCAGGGGTGTCACCCGCACACGACTGTGACCAGATTGACTTGGTGTCCGGCCACCAAATACGCTACTGCCCCATAGGCCCTGGAGGAGGCATCACAGAAGACGTGCAAGTCATAATCCCGCCCGGTGCACCCGATGGACCTGGGGAATGTGAACTCATGCAATTCCGCTAGGTCTTTGCTAACCAGATCCCACTCCTGGCAGACTGTTTCTGGCAGTGGGTCGTCCCAACCTAGGTTCAGCTCCCAGGTCTGTTGCACTAGCATCCTCCCTCGAATGGTGATGGGTGTCAACAAACCCAAAGGATCGAAGGCAGTCTGCACTTTGCTCAGCAAAGACCTCCTGGTCAGCTTCCCTTCCCCATCAGGTTTCCTCTTTAGCCTAAGTCTGTCTTCCTCGATTTCCCACTCCAGTCCCAACACCGATGTTACCTCAGGTACTGAGTAGCCAGCATAGTCACGTTCCACCGTGCCCCGCAACGTTGGATTGTTTGTCACCCATTCTCTCAATGGCATGTTAGCCGAGAGCATCTCCTGATTAGACTCTCGGTAAATGCCCCATCAAAAAGCCTTTCTCTAGGTGGCCCTTGCATTTTGTCTACAAAAAAATAGGGTCTTCAGAATTTTTAAAGTGGGCTGTTACATTTTCACAAGGTGTATCTAGGGAAGCCGAATAAGAATGGTAAACAAGTGGCCCCAAACCCAACACTGCCCTAAAATCTGTAGGTATCATCCCCTTTTGCTTGGGCACCTCCTGTTAGCCAACCACAAGAACCTTGTGTATCCCGGGTCTTGTGGTTTGCAACCCAAAACGTAGAAAGGCTTGCTTTTGCTGCCGCATGGGGTTCCCGTTCTGTCCTGAATCCAACAGCACTCTGCTAATTTCTGCATCAGGGGGGGCCCCCTTTGGGGAAGCAGACATTCGTAACGGATGGCTCTGGGGGACTGCCTGCAGCTCCCAGTTTAAGGAAAATTAAATGGGAGGGGTTTTCCCGACTCCTTGGGACTGCCATGTTTTGGAAGATAATGGGTTTTTTTCCCCGGGGCGGGGTTTTTGGGGCATTTTTCTAAATTAAACCCCAAAGGGGGCCAGCTTTTCCTTAAAAATTTATAATCATTTTCCCCACCAGACCCTTCTTGGTCAGGCTGTTCACCAAGAATTCAACTGACCCCGTGCCTTTCTTGAAATTATGGGCGGCTTTTGGGTGCCCCTTTTTTTCCCAGGGAGTCGCACCCAATTTGCCCGCCCCCTAAAACGGCACATGGTTCAAGAAAACTCGAAAACATCTTTTTCTTTTGGGGGGGGAAAGCTGGTAAACCTTTTAAATTTCCCAAACTACATCCAGGCCCCATATTTTATGGCCGGCTCACTGGGGATATGCCAATTTGCGTCTCTGACAGCCCTTCGTGAAAACCCCAATCCGTTTCACCAGAACAGCCCATTCTGAAATACCAAAAGCCATCCTTGCTGGGGTCGCAGGGAAGTGAGCTGGCACTCTGCCCCTACAAAGTACCCCGCTGGAGTCCTGTAACCAACCCCTCCTTGTTTCCCCTTTCCCGGTAGACAAAACTCGTCTAGGCCCCCCCTCCTCCCAAAGGGATTCCAATTACAAAAACGTTGTAGCAATGTCTTTTCCACTAGCTTCAACCCAACTCCCTCAAACGTTTAAACGCTGCCCCCGCCCCTTTAGTGGTAATGATAGGGGGGCAGTCTTCACTATAAAAGGCAAAAATTTCCCCCTTTGTTGCCCCCCCCTAACCGGGCCCGCACATTAAACCCCTTGGATAAGACCTGCGGGGGGCTTCCCCCCCAAAACCCCCTTCCACCTCCATGCCCAATTTTTTACCAACTGCCCCTCCAGCTTCAACTATTTGGGTGAACTCCCACTATGAAGGATCCTGTGCCCCACTGTCGAAAAAACCAAAGGGGTCTTTCAAAAACTTCTTCCCTTTCACAACCAAACAGCCATTAGGGAGGGCAAGGCCCCCGAACCTTGAAACTGCTCCCCAAGAACAAATTCTCTCCCATACTCCCCCACATCTCACACTTCAGACTTGTTCTTGCCTCCCCCCCCTTTCCCTCGGGGTTTTGCTCCCCTTTAAAACTTGTAAAAATTTTGGCTTTCATTGGGGAAACAGTGCACTTTGGGGCTTCCCCTTTCCAGCACCCCCGAATTTCCCTGAGTTGGGCATTACGCCCCCGGGGAAAAAAATGTTCTCCACAACACTTGAAAAAAGTCTAAACCCCCTTTATCGAAAAACCCCTTTGGTTATAGGTGGTGAAGTTTGGAACACCCTGAAAAAGGAAAGGTTCTTCAAAAAAAAAGCACCGCTCTTTTTTGGCCCGTTGAATGATTTCCCCCTTGGCTTGGGGGTGGGGGGACTTGTCCGGGGGCAAAATATGAGCCAACCCTAGTGGGAGGGGGTTTACCCTT